TTCGATTCTGGTCAAGGGCATGTACCCTGGTTGCGGGCATGTCCTCGGTAGGGGGTGTGCAAGAGGCAGCTGATCGATGTTTCTAACTCTCTATCTCTTTCTCTTCCTCTGTAAAAAAAAAAAATCAATAAAATATATTTAAAATATATATATAAGAAGGCCTCCAGGTGAGCAAAAGGCAGGGGCGCAAGACGCTGCGTCACACGCGGGCGGCGTGAGAGAGCGGCAAGCTTCGTCTGGAGAAGGAACAGCTTTGGGGGGAGCGAGGCAGAAAGGAACCCCGAGAGCTGCGCTGGGCATTTGGAAGGCTGCCGTGTTCCGCCTGAGCTGTCCCTGAAGACAGAGAAACGAGGCCTGCAGGTAAGGGGAAGAAGACAGCCTTGGCCTTGTGACCTCGCGACAGCAATCGCACCAGTAACCCACCGCCGGCCTGCTCCGCCGCCTCGCCTCCCGGATCGGACGAACAGAGGAGTTTTACAGCCAAAGCTGAACAATAGCGACCTCTCTTCCAGGAGGTTCTGGGGGTTCAAAGAGCGTCCGCGCTCCTCTCACAGCACGCATCTGGTTCCTGGGCCAGTCTTTGCCAGCCCCGACACCAGATGGCGCTGCCTCGAAGCCGCAGACCGGTGGCATTTCTGGGGCTTGAAAAAGGAGGCACAGTGGCCAAGCCTGGAGTTAGCCGCCCCCCTCCCCCGCCCCGTGCCTCTCACACACACCCCAGGGCAACTGGTGCTCCTGTGGCCCTTCCCACGAATTCACACTGGTGCCACCAGACGGGCTGGGCCTCCAGCACAGGCTTGGGGGAGCACTGCTGGCACCAGCCATACCTTGGCACGGCTGACGTGGCCAAGACATGGCCTCCACTACCGAGGAAAGAAGGCGGCCGGGAGCTCTCTCTCGGCCTCCAAAACTTGTGCTTTCTGCAGAGTCCCAAGCCCCGAAGCAGAGTGCAAAAACCAGGGACCTGCTCTGCCTGGGAAGGACGCCCCTGCACCTGAGAAAGCTCTTAGGTCCCCAGGTGCTCGCAGTTTCCTCCCAGAGGGAAGGCCTGGCGGCGAGGAGGGGCAGGTCTCCTTTCACAGCAGTGCACTGGGGGACGCAGGGAATTGGAGCCTGCAGAGTCGGACGGGAAGCCCTACAGGACAAATGACCTGGTTCCTCCAACGACACCCCAAAAGCTGCTAGAAAAGAAACCGAGAGAAAGGGGAACAGGAGGAGGATCGCCTGGAGATTACATCTTGAAAAGACGGACCCACCCATTGCCATGCATGCATATGAGTAGACCCGATTTGGATCCAGATCCAAACAAACCAAATGAGGAGACAATTAGGGACGAGTGAACTCGTTGATGAGGAACCGACAATCAGATCACACACACACACACACCAAAAAATGCTGCTTATTTTTAGGCGTCACGGTGGCACTAGGGGTACGTTTTTCAAGACTCCTCATCTTTGGAGAGGATACAGAAATACACTTACAGATGAAAAGCTACGCTGCCTGGGTTTTCTTCCGAACAAGCCGGCGTGGGTGGGCAGTGGGGGTTATGGGCAAACGGAGACTGGCCATAAGGCGACAACGGTTGTCCCTGGCAATGCAGGCTCCTCCTACTGTGCGTGTCTCCACAACGAGAGCGAGCGAGCTGCGGGAAAGAGAGGAGCCGCCACCCCAATGCCTGGACTGCCCGGGCCCCCGCCGGGGCCTGCCGGGGACACGCTGTACAGCGATTCGTTACTTTCCGCTTGTTCTTCTTCCCGGGGCCAGGGCCTCGGTCGGGGCGCGGGGTCTGGAGAGGCCGGTTCCCCTGCAGAACCCCGAAGCAGCTCTGGAGACAGCCGGCCAGGGCGTGCAGGCCAGCTCCCCGTCCTTCCTCACCCAAGCGGGGGCCTCGGGGGCCCACGCCCGCCTCCACCTCCGGCCACCCGCCCTGGGACACCCCCTTCGGATGGCGGGACATCACCAGACACGCACCACCTTCTCCTCCCGCCGCAGTGCTCTCTGACCCTGCCCTGCCTCAACGTCCCCTCCTTCGTGGGGGGGGACACGCGGCAGGATTCCTAGAAGGAAGGTCGCTCGCACGGAGGACCCAGCACACAACCGCGTGGACCCCGTAGGCTGGAGCAGAGCTCCGCCATCACACCTGCGCCCTTTCTCCCCTCCTGACCCTGCCACCTCTGGGCGCTTCCTGCCAGGCAGGACGGCCACAAGGACAATGGCGCCCGGAGGCGAAGCCACTCCCCCACACTTTCCACCATGTCAGGCTGGCCTGTCATCGAACCCGGCCCCAGCCATCCGCTCGGCCCAGATCAGGTTCTTCAGCCCAGTTTTAAGGAAAGAGAACATTGTCTCTGAGAGTCCAAAGTAACTCTTGTCCAAGCCCCGGCCAGCGGCCCGTTCCCCCCGGGGTATGCTGGGAGGAAGGCGCAGGCCTGCGGGGCTGAGCACGGAGACGGCTGTGCGGCCACACGGTGCCATGTGGGGGCTCGGCCAGAAGGCGTTTTCTGGCAAACGGGGGTGGCGTGGAGAAGCCGTGCCTGCTTCACGCCATCCCGAGACCATCCATCTACCCAAGGCCCAACGGTGGCCCAGGCCCACCAACTCACCCTCACCCTCCCAGCAGAGCAATTCCAGCCAGAAAGGCCTTCGTTGACATTCTCTGGAGTTCAGGGTCCTGAATTAGGGACAAGTTATTTTTTAAAATCCTTAGTTCTCCACTCAGCTTTTGTCAAGGAGCTCAGCCAGGACAGAGGAGCCACGGCTGCAGGTGATGGGGCAGCAGGAATTCACTCATGCTCCCGGGCTAATGACCTCATTACACCTGGGGGCGGATGGGGACACCTCTGGTCTCCTGACAGCTGCCTGGTCAGTTCCGGAGAGAGGAGGCTGGCCGGGAAACGGCCTCTTTCCTCGCCCAAACTTCACCCTCCCTCGGCCCCGTCCATGGTGGCAGCAGTCAAGGATCTGGCCTAAAATAAAAGAAGCCAGGGACACAGCTCAGCTCCGGGGACCCGCGCAGAGAGCGGGCAGGAGGAAGATGAATATTGATTTCTGTCATAGAGACCTTGTTTCTAAAAATCAAAAGGTGCAGAATCCCCTCCTCCTCCCCTCAGTGACCTCCTCCCCAAGCCGCCTCCAACACCACTAGGTATAGACAGAGAACGAGGGGGTAACTTTTAAAAATTCCTTCAGTCTCCTTTCCAGAGAGAACAAGGATAAACAAGGGAGAACACTAGCAGTTGGTCATTCTTCATGAGGATTCATGATAGTCACAGGGACAGGCCTAGAAAGATCTGCAGAGGGGGGTGGAGTCGGGCAGAGTTGGGGGACCTACCGCCCCCAACCAACTACTAAAGCCACCTTTCAGAACAAGAGAAAACAAGAAGAGGGGCCTCAACTGCCTCCTCTCCCCCCACACACCAAGTTCAACATATAAACTTTTAGGATACATTCCCGACACAATGCTGAAAGCTCCCCCAAATTTCACTTCTGGGTTAAGTCACACCACTCCTCCCAGCTTCCCAGAAAGGCAAAGGGGTGACCACAGCAGAAAAGTGAACTGCCTTTCTTTTTTGTGAATGAACAGGAAGGAAGACGCACCACACACACACACACACACACACACACACTCGCAAGGAAAGAACAGTCACTAGCGCTGAAGTGCAGCCACATTCTCTTGCGTTCGCATAGAGAGAGGGAGAAGGAAAAAATCCTGGGACGGTGGAAAGGAAAACACACACACGGGGGAAAGGCTTGGTAGCCCTCTCATTACAAGTTGGTTGGGCATAATGTAAACACACTTCTGCCTTGCTTAATCACAGAGTGCCGCCCATTTAGCTTTCAAAGGCGGCAGTAAATTGGGCGTAGCTGAGTGGAGGCTAAAAATTAACCAGCCATCTCTGTTTCAATTTGTAAGAAAACAAAAGCGGAAAGAAATTATAAAAAAGGGAAAGGAGGGAGGGAGGGAACAGAAGGGGAACACTGAGCCACCCTGACCCAAAAATGCAGAGTAAAATTGGAAAAGCAAAGAGAACTGGAACTCCTTGGAACACAAAAAGAAAAGGAAATTTTACAGTTGTTGGGTTTTTGTTTTGTTTTGTTTTGTTTTTTTAACTTTCTTTGCTTCTTTAAGATCTCTCCCGTGCTCCCTGACATGCCTGGGCCCCGAAGCCTCCCTGCCCGCCAGCAGAGGCGCGGGGAGTGCGGGCACCCATCCTGTTTTCTGGTCACTTCAGCAGGAAAGAAGTCAGGGGAAGGGGAAGAGCATAGACATGTCATGCTCCTTCTCACTCTCTACGAAATCAAATGACTTTCTTACTCTCCGACAGTCAAACCCCAGCCCCAAGAGCTCCTGCCTGGGCATCTGGGCCCTGGAATCTGCCCACCTCTGCCTTCGCTCCCCTTTTCTACTCATTCTGTCTGGTACCCAGAGGTTTTACACACGCCTCTCTCCATCCCTCTCTCCACCGAACTGCTGCCCACCCCGCTGTGCCAAATCCGGCCTTCCCCGAACTTGAGGGGAAGCGGTAGGAAAGCCAGCGACTGCCCCAAATACTTCTTTTGACTCATGGTAAGTCAGAGTAGTGAGTGGATTATTATTATTATATTATTATTATTATTATTATTATTTTTTTTTGGTGGTGGTCCTGTTGATCACAAACTCTCACCATTGCAGGTAATTCTGGGACATCGTGGCCCCAGCCCTAAGACCTGCAATGGCTTTTGGGTAAGATGGTCCTTCCAAGATGCAGATGCACGAACATCCAACATCAGAGCATGGCAAGCGAGCCGAGGAGAGAGAACAGAGAGGGTGGAGGGAAACAGAAGGGGGAAACTGAACATCGAACACGCTGCAGGCCTCGGGAGCCGGACGGGTGCCCTGGGTAGGCAGGTCCCTTTGGGTGCATCGCTTGGAGAGAAAAGGAACAACAAACAGGACAAATGCCAGCAAGTAAAAATAAAATGGGGGTAAGGGTGAGGGGGGGGGGCTGAGAGTGACCTACCCGGAGTGTGGACAAAGTAAGCCAGATAAAGATCCAGTTCTTTGATTGTGACTCCAATGTGATGTGGCTGGACGCACAGGCCGGGGTTCGAGCACTGGGGCGACTTGTAGAGCCGCTCCCCATCAGTACTTTCCAGGGGGATCCCCTTAAACAAAATCACCATGACCAGGTCCAGCCGCCACACCTTGTCGGCCTGGCGCAGGCAGTCAATCCGCCGGATCTTGCCCTTCTGGTCGGGGTTGGAGAGCACGCAGCACGGGGGCTTCTTGCCGGTGATGGTCAGCACAAAGTCCTCGCGGAACTCCGGCCGGATGTCCTTGCGCAGCTTGGCCAGCAGCCGGGACGCCCACTTCTGCTTGATCTCGGGCTTCTCGCCCAGCAGCTCGTCCTTCACCGCGCGCTCCTCGTCCTTGGACATCCGCTTCTCGTGCTTCTTGAAGTACTTGCGCTTCCGCGCCTGCAGGTTGAACCAGGTGTAGGAGAAGGCGCGGACGTGAGGCAGCAGCGCCTCGATGAACGGGTGGAACTCATCCTGCAGGCGGCAAGCCGGGAGCATGCGGGGCGAGGGGGACGGGAGGAGGGGGCAGCCGGGGCGAGGGGGGAAGAGAGAACGGGAGAAGAGAGAGCGTTAGGAGGGACACGGAAGAAATCCCCTTCTCCTCCTCCTCCTCCTCCTCCTCCTCCTCCTCCTCCTCTCCTCCTCCTCCTCCTCCCACCCGCGGCAATCTCCTCTTGCGATTGTTCTACGAAAGTGCAGTCTGGAGGCACCACCAGCCCAGCCGGCCGCCCGCGCCCATCTCAGCCTCGGCGGCCAGGCAGGGGCGCGGGCGCCTGAGCGCACGCACCTATCCTCCCTCTCTCTCTCTCTCTCTCTCTCTCTCTCCCCCCCCCCCCTCGCTCGCTCGCACACACACGCGCGCACAGACAGCGCTGCGGTCCACACACACACGCTGCCGGTCTCCCCGCCAGGCTGTGTCGCGCCCATGACAGCTCCATGGTCCGCCGCCGCCCGCGGCGCGCGCCGCTCCCCCGGCACCGGGTCCGGGGCGCGCGGCCGCCGCGGGCGCGCTGCTCGGGGCGGGGGGCGCCGCCGGGGGCCTCTGGCCGCCCCCCAGGCAGACAGACCAGGACATCCACCGGCCGGAGCGAGGGAGGAAGACGGAGCTGGCTTCCCCCTCCCCAGCCTGTTTCCATGCTCGCTTCTCCCGCTCCAATGGGAACATCCACCCCAGCATTATTTTTTTTAAAAAAACACACACACAGATCTTCTAAATCCTAAATATGTGGTCCCAGCTTTGTCACCGGCGCCGGCACGGATGTGGATCGCGGTGCCAAAGAACAAAAACGCGTCTTGTTCGCGCCAACCAGGGGGTGGTCTCGGCCACATTAGGGTTAAAAGCCGCGCGGGGCGCCCCGCGGCCCCGTCCCTACTGACCCCTTCACCCCCTTCCCCGCTCAGTCAGGTGACAGAGGGCCGGGCTCCCGCTTTGGTTTTTTTTTTTTTTTTTCTCTTTCCTTTTTTTTTTTTTTTTCTTTGCTTGGTTGCTTGTTTGAAGTTTAAATAATAATTGATTATCTGTTTACAAAAATAAAAACTGGGGGGAAAATTAAAATCATTACCATGGATCTGAAGCACCCGGCAAAGCCCAACGCCCGATTCTGAGCTTCCGGACTCCGCAGAGTTGTGAGTTGGGGGCGGGTGGGGGGAGGGGGAGGGGGAGGAGGAGGAGCAGGGGAGGAAGGTAAATGTTTTAAAGGGGGTTATTATTGGTGTTCTGGGGAATGGGGGCCGGGCTTGGGTGGATGCTCAAACCCTCCCCCCCCCCCCCCACGCTCCATTGCACAGAAGGGGAAAATTAATATTTTTTTTTTGAAAAGGAGCAAAAAAAGAAAGAAAGGTCAGGGATAGCAAGCAGAGAGAGGGAGCAAGCCGGTTGCCACACACAGCAGGTAAACAAAAGCCAACAAAAAAAAATTATTTTTTCAATTCCGCCCCTGGTGCATCCCATTCCAGTTTTTTTTTTTTCAAAAAAGAGAAAAATATGCAAATTTAAAAAAATCAAAACCTACTTCCCACCCCCCCATCTCCCCCCCACACCAATCCATAACACACCCTGCCCCACCCCCTCCCGTGCAAAACAAAACAAAAACAAAAACCAGGAGAGGGAGAAGCGGCGGGGGGAGAAAAGGCTTTCGGCTCTGGCAGCCGCTCGGGGTGCAAACTTGGCGCTGCCTCCCTCGCCTCGGAGCCGATGGCGGGCGGAGGGACAGCCGCCGGTGCCGGGGAAGGGGACCAGGCCGGGCGGCTGCAGGCCGAGGCTGCTGGCAGACGGAGGCGAAGGAGAGAGGGAGCGGGCGAGGGAGGGAGGGAGGAAGGGAGAGAAAGAGGGAGAGGGCGAGGGAGATGGGACTGGGATGGGGCCGTGTGTGTGTGTGTGTGTGTGTGTGTGTGTGTGTGTGTGTTGGTTGGGGTTTGGATTTTTTTTTTTGCTTCCTTTCTCTTTCTCTCTCAAACTCCCTCTCTCTCCCCTTTCATGCTCAATCCCCATCCATTTGCTCTTGCCAAAGCCAGTAAAAGGGAGGGGAGGAGGAAGAGAGAGAGAGAGGGAAAGGGAGAGGAGAGAGAGAGAGAAGGATCCACCTATTTGGCAACGAGACACCCCGGAGCAGCCAATGGCTGTGTCCAAGGGGAGGAGGGAACCGAGCGAGCCGGGAGGGAGGGGAGAGCCCCCGGCAGTTGGAGACCAAAAACAATTTGCCCAATCGACAAGTTCACGTCTAATGAACAAGCAAAGTCCAGCAGTTATGAATTTTTCATTCCCGGCTCCCACTCGGGTCCATTTGGCAGTGGCCACCCAGCGAATTTGGAGGGGGGTGGGGTGGGGGGTGGGCTAGGATCAAGGGAGACCGGGAATTTTTTTCCTCTTTTTTTCAAGCCAGAAAAATAAATAAATAAAGGCTTGACTCTGAGCGGGCGGGCGCCCCAGAAGGCCTTGGGGAACGCAGCTGCGCCTTCTCCCTGTGTTTTGGTTTCAGTCTCTCTCAGCCTGCACACTCTCTCTTTTTCTGGTCGTTCCTGCTTCTCTTTTATTTATGGAGAGCACAGGGGCGAGTGGAAGTTTTCCTCCCTGGCCCCGCGCAGGAGCGGCGCTATGAATAGAAAGAGCCGAAGAAAGGGAGCCGGGAAAGTGCCGGTGCCAGCAGCGCTTCCAGGGCAGGGACCTGGCGTCCGGGGTGCCGCCAGCCCGGCCACCCTCCACCCCCACCCCCACCCTCCGTCCTGGGGCTGCGCTCTCAGGAGCACTCCCAGACCCGGCCGCCCCTGCAGCCTGAGGCCTCCCCCCCTCCCCGGGAAGCCGGCTGCCTCCCGGCCCACACCCAGCCACGCAAGCTCCATGAACGGCGGTGAGGGATGCCAACGCAATGAACGGCTGGAGAAACGGCAACAGTTTGTGAAAATAGCCTCCTGTCACAGCGCTCCCCTCCGCGGACAAGCACACACACACACACACACACACACACACACGCACACGCACACGCACACACACGGCCAGCCCCGGGAAGTGACAAAGGCGGGGAGATGGTCACCGACTCCTACTGACACCCCCCACTCCCCACCCCCCACCATCACCACCACCCAGATGCTCAGTCCTTTGCCTTCCCAGCTCCGTCCCCTCCCCTGGACCCACGTGCAGTGTTTCTCGGTTGGAGGTGGGGAACCCTCACCTGTCCCCCGATTCCCTTTACGCCAAAGGGCCCGGGTCACACGGAGCGAGGTGCAGGAGCATGAAGCGAGAAAGCCACACACGGGGGGAGAGCCCAAAGGGGAAGCAACAGCGCCGCAAGGACAGGGCTGCGGCGGGGGGAAACCGAGTCACAGAGAAGAGGCTCACGGAAGCCCCTGTCCCCGGCTTTCCTCCCAGGCAGGGAGGGTCAGCACCAGGGGGTTGGAGGCTCCCTGGGAGGGCCGGGGGAGCAGCTGGGCCTCCATAGGCCTCGGAAAGGCCGTCAGGAGGAGACCGTTATTAAGGGAAGAGCTGAGGGTGAGAACTCAGAGAGGGAGAGACTGTCTCTGCTCTAAACCCCTCCCATGGCTGCCCTCTCCCAAGGTGAGGCTCAGCCCTGGGGGGGGGGACGGAAAAGAAGGGTCACTGCTGGCTCCAGCCCCTCCCCCCCCCCATCTGAAACACAGTGAGGATCCCGGGGAAGAGCGGGGTGGGGGAGGGGACAGACAAGTAGCCCCCGGACTTGCGCTGAACGCTGGCCACAGGAAAGTGCCCCCCAGCCCCCGCAGCCCCAGGCTGGGCCCTGACCGCTGGGGCAGGCCCTCGGCGGGCGGCTGACCCCAGGAAGAGGTGAGAGGGCAGGAGGCAGGTGTCCTTGCCAGCAGGCCCCGCGGGTTGGCATTCAATAATTAACGTCCTGTTAATAACCAGCTCGGGTCCAATTAGCCAGAGATGTCAGCGGAGTGACATCAGATACCCTCCACCTCAAGAGAAGGCAATCTTACGTCCTAAAGTCAAGATGAGAGGGCAGGAACGACGGGAGAGTGAGTGCGTGTCTGTCGCAGGGGGGTTTTTCTGGTATTTTGATTTACACTAAATATTAGGCACGAGACAGAAAAATGGCCAGCGGGAGCCTCCTGGAGAATCCTGGCATGTGCAGCCTCACAGACCACAGTGCCGGGGGGGAGAGACACGCGGAACATGGTTGTCTCTGAATCTGGTGGTACAACTGGGGAGGTGGGGGGGAGGTGGCAGATGGGAGGACCCACAGAGAAGCTGGGGAGGAGATCCGTGATTCGCCCCTGGGTGGAGGGAGGGGTCAAAGGTTGCTGGAGAGACTGGACGTGGCAGTGGCTCAGGAGGGCCGGCGGGGTGTCCCACACAAAGCCCACGGCCCCTCAAGCTCCCCAGCCTGAGCAGCGGCAGGCCCTTCCCAGGGAAGCAACCGGAGGGAGAACAATCGTCAATTGTCCTTCTGCCAGTGGCCTTCACCTTGAAGGTGGGCAGAGAGGATTCCCAGGCAGTGCTCCTCCCGCACCCTGTTCCTCCGAGAGCGAGTGCGAGAGCAGCCAGGGTATTCCGGACGGATGGACGGAGGCCTGGGGAGGGAGGGCAGAGGGAGAGCAGAGGGCGCCCTCTCTCTCCTGCGGCACACACGGAAGGATCTCACTCGGGTTCCATTAGAAGCACTTGCCCTCCTTCCTCCTGCATGCCACCGGTGGCTGCTTTGGGCCCTGGACACGCCCCTCAGGAGCGCCAGACAAAAGGGGACTGTCCCCCTTTTGTTCAGACAGTGGAGGCTCCTGTTGGAAGATTACCTGTCCCAGACCCAGACTCCTTCCCTGCTCCCCTCCTGATGCCCCTTCCCCCTGCAGGAGCTCAGACTCTCAGTCCCCCCACCTGAGCCAAGACAAAAAAAATAAAGGCCTCCGAAGATTCCAGGCTTCTCCAGGAGTTCAAGGGTTCAGGGATGGAGGGAGCCAGGGAACAGCCAGGCCTCGGAGGAGGCGAGGGGAAGGGGAATGGGATGAGAGAAAAACAGCCTAAAGCTAAGGGGATAGGAAGCCAGGGATGCTGGTGAGAGTGGTGCACAAAAAAAAAAAGAAAGAAAGAAAGAAAGAAAGAAAGAAAAGAAAGAAAGAAGAAAGAGAAAGGGAAAGAAAGAAAAGAAAAGAAAAGGGAAAGAAAGAAAGAAAAGAAAAGAAAAGGGAAAGAAAAGAAAGAAAAGGGAAAGAAGAAAGGAAAAGAAAAGAAAAGAAAGAAAAGAAAAGAAAAGAAAAGAAAAGAAAAGAAAAGAAAGGAAAGGAAAGGAAAGGAAAGAAAAGAAAAGTAACCTGGGGCAATGGAGAATGTGAAGGAACAGCAGAGAGATGGGGGTACCCTCCCATTTAAAAGAAAAACCGGAAGCCGGAGGTGAGACATCACACATTCACAGGGGCTTCGGTTGCAGGAAGCAATTTTTCTGCCTTTGTGAGAGAAAGGCCTCTCTCATTATGGTCCAGCATATGAAATTTAATTTAAAAAACACACACACACACAAAACACAGCAACGGTCTCAGTAAAATATTTCTCAAATAATACCCATGCTGGCTTCAGCCATCCCTAGGAGAAATGTGCCTGGAAAGAAAGGGACTGAGCAGGCCAAGGAAACCAAGCCTAGAGAGAGAAAGAGGGGCGCTGGGCCCCAAACTGCAGAGAGAGCAAAGGACGAAGATGGAGGGGGAATGAGCAAGGAGAAAAGAC